ATGGCGGCGTTTGGTGGATAATTCCTCCGGTACCTACGCGTTTACAATTTTTCCGTCGTTACTAAGTTGTTATTTAAAGACATTTCAGTTTCAGATAACTTTGTAATGGTTGTTACGGATAACTATCGTCATTTCAGCCGATTTCGGCTGGGAAACTACTTATTTTTAACTTGCGCACCAATTACAGTGCGCTCCCGGACTTTGTCTATGGAGGTACACAGGGCTGTGGTGGGGGACATCTATCAACCGACCGCGTCTCCGTACACACAGCACTGTACGCAGGGCTAACCATACTCGTTCCAACTTATCGCCCAGGGTACTACAGAGTAATATTACTTGTGTTGGCCAAAGAAACACTTCTCTGTAATTGATTTAAGCACATGCAATACTAAAGAGCAAACACGATACATTGTATGTTTTTTCAAAACATATTCAATTTTACTTAGCCAACATTATTCAGCAAAACCAAAATCCAAAGTTGAGAGTGCTCTCACAGGTAACTGGCAAAATGATACCGTAGAGGGCGCTACAGTGTACAGCTGTGTAAAACAGACACAGATATTACACCACAAGAGGGCTCCACATACAAATAGTTTAACATGAGAAAAGAAAGCTTGCCTCATGCTGAAGATAGTGAAGGCAAGGACTGAAGATGGTAAAATATCCAAAATTATTTAAAAACTGTAGAACACTGTAATTTAGTGTCACCAATCTGATTATGAAAAGTTCATCATCATATCATATCATATCACATCATATCACATCATATCACATCACATCATATCATATCATATCATATCATATCATATCATATCATATCATATCATATCATATCATATCATATCATATCATATCATATCACATCACATCATATCATATCATAAGTCTTATATTTTTGGACATTAAAAGCTTGGGATTATTCATTTTTGTAAGTGTTGAAAATTTGATTAGCCTGCCTATCTGAGCCAAAAACTGTGCTCAGCCCAGGACAGGTGGGAAGATCTTAATTTTGATCCCTGTATCAGGACACACAAATACATAAACTGTGGAGGTAAATAATATACATGCATGAAAAATAAACACAAAGCCACCCATTAGATGTTTGGCTTACATAGCACTGCTTTGTAGAGTTATCATAAAACCTGTGATATAATAATATTACCTTATCCAGAATAGCAGCCATATACTCAGCACACTGGTCTTCTAGTCTGTGTAGTTCAAATAATCTTGCTGCCTTCACTACTGAGATGACGTTAAACTCATCAAGGTTTTGGGAGATGACATTTGCAGACAGTCTTTTCAAACCAGGCAGTAAATATCTATCTGCCACACATAACACATCATATGCTAATGCTGCTGATATCTGTTATAGAAGATACATTATTTAATTGTTATACAACTGCTAGACTAGATTGTCATGTTACAAGATAATTATCAGCGTAATGACCTCTGTGAACCACATCAACATGCGCCTGAGCAGTCAACTGTAAACTACTGGAATTTAACATTCAGTGACAAATTTTTAGAAGTAAAAATTTCACTGGGTTCATAAATACTCAGTTTCACAGCGACTTAAAGGGCAGTAGTCGTCACGCCACGCATGCACTAGATATATGGGTCTCATATAAACAAAGATGGCGACTTTGACTGTTGCATAGATCAACAACGTAGAGTACAAACTGAGACCTTTCCAAGCTTTAATTACTGGTAGGTAATTTTTAGGTGATTGAAAAGTATCGAAGGAGTCACTGGCAGTACTCAGTGCAAGTCTCGTCCAGGTCAACTCTCATACTTGTGATTTTCATTTGAAGAGCACATTGAATTGTGGTAAAATCAATGTTTATCAACACAAATGTCGCACATGCGCAGCTCGATGACTACCGCGCTTTAAGCAAAACTTTGCCCTCAGAGATGACATTCCATCTTCAAATATTGAAACTACATGTATGTGCTACTTCTACTTGAACTGTACAACATGCTACTCGTTTTGACCTTAGAAATGAAGCGTTTCTGAAATTAATCAGAATACAGTTTATTAGAAAAAAAAAAAGTTGATTACCATACCTGTGGTTTGTCTGTGTAAAGATATCTGACAACTTGACTGAAGACGTCAGGATTTACATCTTGTAAATACACTACAGGTATGCCTTGAAGACTGTCCGTTCCAACCTCACTGAAGTGGTCACTAAGTAATGCTTTGAAATAGTCGCTACGGCAACAGAAGAAAACCTAAAATAAATGGATTATATGTTTTCATTGAACAATCCTGATTATGTAAAAGATGAAAACCAAGTCATATGAATCACCAATATCCACATAATAATAATAATGTTTAATGTTCCCATTTATGTAGATGGTTTACATAGAATGTTCGCAAACAACAAACCCTAACCCTATCCCTGCCCTCCAGGGCTCCCCAATTTAATTGTATGTGCTCCTTCTAAGTACACCTACAGTTATCTAGAAGGGGAATTTACAGTTGAAACTGGGGGGGACTTGAGGTGAGGGTTAGAGTTAGGATTAGAAGTGAGGGGTATTTTTTGCAATAAATAAATGATGCAACATATGGATTTTACTCTGTTGTACTGAATACCATAAATGTTCTTCTAGAAGCAGAAACAACGCACGGTTCTCCCCAGGGCATAAACAATACAGCCAATTTAGCATAACACTGAATACAATAGGAGTCATTAACATATTATATTGTTATGCAAATTGTCCGATGCTGTTTGCATTTTTTCTGGGGAGAACACACTGGACACCTGGCAGCAAAATACAAGTTGTTCATATAGTATTTATAATTATGCACCAAGGTCTCCTATTGGTGAGTTAAATCTTACACAGGAATTCATAAATTAGTGTACAAATTGGGGAGAAATCATAGGAAATGTTAAAACTATTGAAGAAATATTTTTATATGAAACATCTACCTTATGACAATAGAAATTGTAGCCTTGAACTGAGAAACAAATATCACCCAAATATGGTATGTTTTCCTCTTCAGTAAAGAAAGGTAATTCACCATGACTCACCTGAAAGTAACAACAGTTATTATAAAAGGTTGGTCACAGACATTCAACTTTAATAATAACATTTAATACATTATTTTATACAATTATAGATTTAAATATAACTTTAGAATTTTTTTCACAGAGTCAGAAATTTTGTTTTTGTAAACAAAGAAAACAAAAATAGGCCTTTTGGAACTATTGTTATAAGAATCCATGCTAAAAGCATGTGTTCAAGAATTTTTATTAATTCAGGACTGCCATAAACCATAATTTTGAGATACAATGTAACATTTTTATTGCACAAACTGATAGTAAATGGATTCAAAAACACAATTTTCATGAACTCAGTAAATAACAGCATAAAATGTAACTGCATTGTAAAAATCAAGAAATCTTAATTTTAATGGTAGCCAAAGTTAATGATGGATACACTTTTGACATTGGCTTAATTATTTCCTGTAACTTGATACTCCAAAGTCTGAAGACAAAAACTTACATGAATAAATAGCATATACATTTTGACCAATTTTGTAACTCAAAATGGCAGCTGAAGTAGGGCTTAACACAATGAGGAGATCACAGTCAGATCACCTTTTATTTGCTCTTTGTCATTTTTGAAATTTTTGATGGAACCTTTCACTCTGACTTACTTTCATTTAAATTTTGTGCATTTTAACCAGTTAGTTGTGAGAACTAAAACCGTCCTGTGATCAAGGGACAAGCGTGAAATGACAAGAATTCAGACTATAGTAACTACTGTATATAGCAACCAAGACCTGCCTCCATCTGACACACAAAGTAAAATGCTCACCCAGTTCTTGATTTGATTAGGGATAGCTTGTTCAGCCAGAACACCCAAGTCTTCATGTAGCTGATAACAGTTTTCATCAATACTGATCACGGTGACACGGGTACCAGGCTTAGCACACACTACAATTCATACAAAAAAAAATATTTATTTATAACTTTACAAATGTCTTTTCCTCTCATAGTAAAAACAGCTATGGTTAAACATGCTCATATATGATGTAAAAGTTTATTCGAAATAGCCAGGTACGAAGAAATGTGTCAATGCAGAGTACAAGAGAACTTCAAATGAAACAAAAGTTTTCTCTGTCAGACTGCTAGAGGGCAGTATAAAAGAAAATTGTGTCTTTACATACAACAGGTTCTGTTATAGAAACAACAAGTAAACTTTATGAATTTCTCCATGTGACTAGTGGCCATAATTTTGGTCTGAAGCACTTATACTAAGAAATATTCATTGATCCAGTCAAAATCACCAGGATTTCCCTGAATTCACCAAGATTGACCCAAATTCACTAAGACTCCCCTGGATTCACCAGGATTAATTCGGTTTAACCAGGATTCACCAGGATTCATCCGGTTTAATAAGGAATCATTAAGAGTCACTGCTATTTACCGTGTTCTGAATTACTGTGAGTACCGTAGCAGTTATTCAAACCAGGCAAATCTTTATCAATCGATGCACATCAGGAAGTTATTCAAAAGCATTACCACAGGAAATTAAAACAATTAACAATCAGGATATAAAAATTAAAATAAAGTTAGAGGAAAAATCAAAGAGCACAACCGTAAACTGCTTAAGTTAGAGGACAGCAGGACACTGAAAGCATGAAGAATAACGATAGTTTCTCACCAAATGAATCTGTTTTCTTGACAGCATCATCTATTCTGCTAATCAATCCCACTAACTGACACTGCTTTGCCAGTCTGATGACATCATCTATATCTTCCATGTGGATCTCAAGACGGTCTAGAAAACAAAATATCACATGTACTAAACATGACGCTGTGACAGCTGGAATGATAATAATCAAACAGAGATATTTTGAAATCAATGCTAGTCAACACACACAAAAAAAAACATTTTCAATATGGTTATGAAAAACAGCTTAAAAACAGTAACATTTTATAAAAGCAATACAATGCATACATTTCTAACATCCAGGGAGTTACATGGCAGAATCATGATATGATCTATTTTTAAGTTATTTTTTTCAATTTAAAGCGCCACAGTCATCCTGTTGTATTCAGTTCAATATGGGACCGTAGCAACATTTGTAAAATACATTGTTCACATGAAATTCGAACACACTCTTTGTGACAACTGTATCCCATTAATGTAGGAATTATGAAGTATTAACTAAGTTGAGGGTGTGATCAGAAGACAATGATGTTTAGTGTCAGAAAATGTTTTTAATTCAAGCAGTCTGTCGACATTGAACTGTTACTCGTATTTGATACATATATTGTGAAAAAGTTCAGCCTAAAAATAAAAAACAAATTCATTGGTTTACACTCTTACCAGTATAAATGTAGCGCAGAATGGCTTTAAACGCATAAGGACTGACCTATGAACAGAAAAGATTAAGATTGGCTTATAGGCATATTCAGAGGCATGATAACCTTACAATGTATCTCTATAAGAAAAAGCTCTCAAAGAATATACAAGAATATTGAAAATAATTTCAGAAAACAGTTTGATTTTTGGAATAAGAAATAAGTTCTCAAAGAATATACAAGAATATTCAAAATAATTTCAGAAAACAGTTTGATTTTCGGAAAAAAGTCATTACATGAACCTATAATATCAATTTAATACTTTTTAATACATTAAGGTTGCAAAAAAAAAAAACTGCCAACAACCTGCTGTGCAATTTTATCAAATTATTTGCCAAACTTTAAAATTTAAAATAAAATTCAGCAAAACTTTAGACCCAAAAAAACGTGAAAGTTTGTTTTTCCTACAAATTGATCTACTCTCATAATGCAATGTTTTTCAAACGTCAATTTTCGGTAATTAGTCTGAACATACATATTTTTTCAACCGTATCCTGTAATAATTCACTAATGCTACCCTTGTTGAAAATATACTACCAGTAACTACCGGTATTTCACAATAGCTTTAAATTAAAAAAATTAAAAAATGTGCCAAATTTTACCAGTGGGTGCTTGAGATTAACAGACATTTTATTACGCCATCTAGTCTTCAACATTTCAGCGAAGTATTCAGATCTGACGGATAAAATGCACCGATGGGCTGTAAACTTGCTATTACGCACCGCAAAACATATGTCTTCATAGCTACCCTCATCCAGCAGCCTTCAAATAATAGATATGTAAACAATTAATAAAATACTACAATTATACATTTGACAGGTCTCAATCAAAATTTAGAAGGGAAATTAAATAAGAGATTAGTTGGTTGGGTTTATTTTATATACAGATTTAGAAAGTAGAATGCAATGAATATGAGGTTATTATGAACGGAATATCATACGGTATGTACTCAGGTAGTTTGATGATCAAATTGTCGGACTCATAGCAGACGTCAATGAAAATGAGTACTGTAAAATCTGTATTAGAAGCCGCGGCTTCTATTAAAATGGTACAATGCAACAGAGGGGATGCGGCTTCTATTAGAGCATGTACACATATGAGAAATGATGAATTTTTTATTCTAAATTATTCAAAAAGAATGGGTGCGACTTCTATTAGGGATGCGGCTTCTAATACAGATTTCACGGTACTGCCTAAGTGCATACTTTGCAGTATTTTCAACATAACATAATTATGATACATCTTTTTTGGCTTGAAGCAAGAATTTGATGAAAGATAATAACCTGAAATACCGGTATCAACAAAAACGTTATGCGAATGTTGGCGTTAAGTAACAGGATTCTGTTCTAAACATTTTAGATTTCAACATTCCCATGGTGTATTGTTGGAAGGAAAAGATGTATAATAATAAGGTTGTTATGAGAATATGTCAAAGTATGCACTCAGACAGTACACCGTGCATCGAGCATACTTTGAGGTATTCTCGTAATAACCTCATAATATTTTCGATGCTAGATGTACCGGTATCATAATATTGCTTATACCTTTAGTTTATTTATTTATTTTATTTACTTATTGACTCTTACACAATCCCCGGAGGGAAAGAAAATGGTCACAAAGTACAAGGAGAAATATATATATATAAAAAAACAAAACAAAAACACAATATACTAAATAACAAATACAATCACTAAATAATACAAAATCTCTAAAATACAATCTAATATAAAATTACAAAACTGACAGCAGGCATTAAGGTAGCGAGACTATTATTTGTGTTGAAAATTACGATTTTCACATTTATTTATTAATTGATGAAATGCACTATAAACTTTCATATGATAAAGTCAACATAACATAGAATGTCATGTAAGTTGGTTAAAATGTAGATTTTCTGAAGGAAAACAAGGCAGCCTCAGTAGTGTTTTCCAAAATCAACAACACAGGTTTAATCTGTGAGCCTATAAGTTTCAAAGATAAACTCAAGACAAAGCAATGTTAGGATGTGTTATCAGTAGCTATCTGACACACAATGAGTGTTTCCAAACATTTGAGTGGTTTGTCTCCGCCCCTGTTTGTTTCACAGATTAGTCATTTGCATATGAATGTGTCAGACACAAGGTCACACAGCCACTGAAAAAAATCATTGATTTTGGTGTTTTCATATGCCGAATTTATCCAAATATAGCTATCCCATTCCTTTATTTTTTTGGTTTCCAATAGCCTTACACATTTGGATGTCCCTACACATGTTAAAACAGACCTTGATGGGAAAAACAAATTGATTGTGCCGATAAACAAGCTTGAAAATCTTTGCTGTGACTTCATGGACGTTTTCTAGGAGTTTATGTTTTTCAAAATACAAGGTCTTTAACAAAAAATAACGTATACTTATTGTCGTCGGATTAACACCAAATTTTCACAGCTT